GCAGATGAATTCTTATTCTCTCAGCCACCAGGGAATGCTCTCTGCTGTGTCTTGTAAGGTATATTCTTCTAAAACTGCTTCATGTGTCTCTCTGACCCCCTCCACTCCCCACACAAATAGCCATTTTTATAAATAATTTACTTTGGGGGGAGATTGCATTGTTATTATAACTTACCTGAAAAGTATGTTCTCATTTGACTTTTTCTTTGCAAGCTTACTCTATGTAATTAAACCAGAATTTAGTAATCGCCTTTCGCAGAGATATACACACACACCTATTTTGTTCTGCCTCTACTTCACTCTTCCCTTGAGAAAGGGGTATTTTAAATATAATGATTCTATTAAATCAGTTTGAATTTGGTACCTTAGCCTTTAATTACCTTTGTGGGACTGTTAGGAAGCTTCCCAAGAGAGGTCATTGTGTCACTGTCAGTTTGAAACAATGAAGTGTATGCCCTGTGGATTTTGTTAGAAATGGGATTAATGCTTCAGGGAGGTATTCTTTTTCCTCCTGCATCCTTTTTCCCTATGGTAGACTAAGTCACATGAATGCATAACACCCAGGTCAGGGCACAGGGAGGTGGGAAGAAATACTCTCAGCACATTTTTTTAATTGATAAAGTTATGATCACATTATTTTAATAAATATTTAATTATTTTAGTTAATCAGCTTTTTTTTGTTAACAATTAGACTTTCTGTATGGGTTTCTGGGTCCATGGATAGGTCTGTGACTATCTATGTAAATGACCATTTAACAGTAGGCTGTAAAAGAAGATTGTATGTAGAATTTCAGAGCATCTTGGAATTTTAGATCTGAAGGACCAGGAAAATACCAGGTAATTTGTTGGGGTTTTCTTATATTTATTCATTCTTCATACTCTTTATACATTCAATACTTATTTCTCTCCCCCCCCCCTTTTTTTACCAGCTATTTTGCATGTTAACTTAGTTGCCAAACTTTGAAACCCTCTAAGGAGAACAATATTGCTCTGTCTCCAAAATATTTATATTTGAGGCCTATCTTGTACTAGAGAATTATATCTTAAAAATGTTTTTCACTTTAAAATATCTCTCACTATCCTGAGTGCAAGGCCACTGTGGACTAAGGTAAAATCCTTCTCTGTTACTACTGACCTTCATTCTCTTTGGTGGGTAGATTTTACATTTTGTTTTCCTAAACAAGGGAAAACAGTTATAGTCCCACCTCTTATGTGCTTCCCCGCATCTGAGTTGCAAGTTCAGTATGTGCACATATGTAAGATTTCAAGTGCAAAAGGAGAACGGAGTAGGAAACAGATTTTCACAGCCCCAGTCTGGGTCCTTGCGTAAGTGCCAGCATAAAGCGATTCACTGAACAGTGAATAGTCTCGTGTTGCCTGGCTCTGAGGAAAAGGATTTGAAAATCCAAACTTAATAAGCAGATCAGTTGGGTGGGAGAGTTGACATTATTGTTTTGCACTCCAATAACATGCCGTGTTATCAAAAACATTTTTCTTCAGCAGTAAAATTACAGGAGGCATATAGATACCTTTCAGAATGTCAGGAAAAGGAGTTGGGGGGAATTTAGTTAAGAATAGTGAACATATACCACTTATCACAGGAACCATACACTGTGAGCCTCTGGGTATCTCAGGGTAAAGGGTGAATTTAATGTCGGTCGGGGAGTGGGAGGTCAGCCCTGAATCAAAGCAGGTACTTGAATTAAGCTTAATGTCTGGAAAGAAGGGGGCTCCTGGGTAGAGGTGTGAACTCCTAGGCCCAGAAGAAAGTCAAGTTACTTAATTCCTCAGTTTTTAGGAGCTTATAATAACTGTGTTTGCATTTCCCAGTGAAGCACAGGGCAACTTGTGGGTTAAGTCTAGAGGGAATCATTCATATCCATTTCTCATTCTGCCTCACTTATTCAACTTAAATATGAGGACTAGTTTGGGTTTAAGTGTAGATTTTACACACTTCTGGGGTTTCCCTGCTTCCCTCAAGTTTATTGCCACCAACTTATTGATAAACTGATTTTTTTTTTGAACTTTAGACAAAGCATTCTGTTTTATAGTTAGAGATAATACTGTAAATCTATAAGGGCTATAAGATTTATATAAATCTGGAAGACTAAAAATCTAAGACTATAAATAAACCTGTTTATTTAACACATTGAATGGAATTTGGCTAAATTTAACACTTCCTGAATACCTGTTCTGTGCTTGGTACTAATGAGAAAGAGAAAAGATGAAAAGTAAGATTTCCTGCCTTCCCATGACAAGGCCAAGGAGACATGGAAATCACACAGTAATCACAGTGGAATGTTACTTCCAGGATAACAGAAGTGTCCCTGTATCTTTCTCACCATTAAGTTCCTTGCATTTGTCACGATGCCTGATTCATAACTAAGGCTTATCATTTTTTTAAGTTGATGGATACATGGATGACTAGTTTCATAAAGACTGTAGAAATGGTATGTACAAGGTACAATATGGATTCAGAAGATGGGATGAACAACTTGGCCTTGGAGGGGTTCAGTACAGATAATGAAAGTCTTTATGGGGAGATATTTGAATCAGCTCATGGGAGAGAAATAGGAGTTGTCTAGAGCTTCCAGAATTGTTTTTCAGCCAAAAGAATTCGTGTGGACAAAGGCAAGGAGGTATGAAATGACATGATGTTCAAGAAGTTGTAAATAATTTTTTTCAAGAATAAAGGGAGTAGAAGATTGTAGGGAGAGCCTTCATAAATAAGGGACATTTCTGATTCGAGTCAAGGCAGGTCCTGCTGGGTATAAGGGTAAGCGTGCAAAATAAAGAGCAAAGAGACTTGTTTCCACCTCACATTTTTAACTGAGGTTCATCTTATTTACCTTCAAAAGTATTGGCATTTGGAAGCTAATTCAGGAGGTGTATCTTAGTATAGGTGGTATATCTTAGCATAGAAACAATATAGCCTGATGAACTATACAAATACTGTTCCAATGAGATTCTATAATTGAAAAATATATTAAAGGAAAGATTGTGTATTTTCAAAAGTTAGTTTCATTACTGGATGATCATTAAATAGATATACAGTATATCACTTTACAGGGGCTTCTCTGGAGGCTCAGTGGTAAAGAATCCACTTCAATGCAGAAGATGTAGGTTCAGTCCCTGGTGTTGGAAACATCCTCTGGAGAAGGAAATGACAACCCTCTCCAGTATTCTTGCCTAGAGAATCCCATGGACAGAGGAGACTGATGGGCTACAGTCCATAGGGTTGCAAAGAGTAGGACACTACTTAGCAACTGAACAGTAACAACAGTATATCACTTTACAAAGGGATCTGTCATTTAACAAATGGATTTCTGTCTGGTTCCTAGGAACAGTGATGTCATATAGGATTTAAAGTAGTTGATTAACATGTGGCTTTCTCACCCTGTGTCTAAGTCGAGGCACACTTGCACTGGTGAGAGTTTTCCTACCAGAGGAACATGACTTGGATTTCTTGTGCTACCCCTTAAATGTTTCATTGCTATGTATTAGAAAGATTTGGTGGGATGGGTGCTTTCTTTAATTTAAATGTATAATTGTTTGAATGCTTTTAACTTTATGGATCACATTTTCCAATTTTAAATGAGGCCACATTAATAAAAGTGAGTTTCTTAAACTTAATTTTAAATATACTACTATTTTAATTGTACCATTAGGGTCATCCTAGGTGAAATTGATAGAAATGCTGCTTCTCTTCTCTTTCCACTTAAAGTTCAGCTGCCGCTGCTGTTGTTTCCTTTCTTCTACTTTCATTTTACTCATCTTTGGATAAAATAACTCCTTATTTTGCATGTCAAGGTTTAATGTATGTTCTTAACTTGATAGAGACTTTAATTTTGAGGGAAAGATTCTTGGCTGATTGCATTAGTTTAGCAGTTCTAGAATAAGATGTCTGTGGGGCGGGGCGGCAGGGTCCTGTCATTGATTCTCTCTTTATAACTGTGCCCTTTTAGCTGCAGCCGATTACCTGCGGTGCTTCTGACCCGGCACAGACTGAATCACAAGGAAGAAACTTTACATAAACCATTTATACTAAATGCTTGGTATGCCGGCAACATAAATCAACAACAATATCCATTATAAATTCATCCCTTTATCAGTATTATCTTGATAGAACTGATCCCAATGTGTGGGAATTTGAACGCTGCTTCAATACATCTAGTCCTGTGTAATTAATTATTCAGGGCACAGAGAACCTGGCCCCTGCGATGTAGAGTAATTCTTCCTGGTCAGCGTTAACTCCACTGGCAATAATAAATAGAAAAAGTCTCTAGTGATGCCAGTATTTTAAAGTGATTAATCATCTTTCCCCGCTTCGCCTCCCCCTCAGTTTTCTTTAACTAAGATTTTTCAGCAATAAATCTTTAACAATACAGGTAGGAATTGTTCTGTAATTAAATTTTGCCCTGCTTAATTTCTTACCTTTTATGTATGACAAAAACCAAAAAGTTAACATTTTAAGGAGGTCTGATTGAAATTCAAACCCAGAAAACTCCTTTTATAGAATACTGAGAGATTCTCTATGGAAGATTAAGCTCTTGATTTTGAATATTAGATAGAGCACGTATTCATAAAAATTGTTAATCAACACCAGTTGGAGTGTCAAATATTCTGAAGTTTTGAATTACTTCACTTTCATGTGTATGGGTTGTCTGTATTAGGAAAAGCCTGACATATACATATGTTCCCAAACGGAGAGAATAATTACTTATTTCTTAACTTGCAGATAATTGATGTGAGCTCTGTAGGAAAGGGAGACTTTGCACCTTTTTGTGGTACACAAAATGCAATAGCGGAAGTGGCAGGTAAATGCCTGACTGAGAATGACCACGTATTTCCAAGTCGTGCCCTGTAGAGCTGGCCAGCCATCAAGTCTGTTCCACGTGGCAGGGACAGATGTGACATATCTGTTGTGACACACTTCTCTGGCACCAGTCTGTGGCTCGAGGTGACTCCTGTCCCTCCTCTGATGCTTCCTCCCGCTGCAGGACAACACAACGACGCACGGATGAACCTTGCCATTGCTCTCACCGCTGCCAGGTATGGGGCTGCCACGGCCAATTACATGGAGGTCGTGAGTCTGCTCAAGAAGACAGACCCCCAGACAGGGAAAAAGCGCGTGAGCGGCGCACGGTGTAAGGATGTGCTCACAGGTATGCAAAGGCTCCGGCAGGGCAGATTTCTTAGCATCTTGCTTTGTCTGTGCAATGACTGAATGATAATTTCTCTGTCACTTCTCTTTTATTGAACCCAGATTTCAGAGTCCTATCACCTGTATTCCTTTTTGTCAACAACAACTGGTTTTGCATGAAAATTTTTCTTTGTGGAACCTGGCAATTTTTTTCCTCTTTGTGTTAAACATTAATGATGATCATGATAATAATGTCTGCAAAATTCCCACAACTATGAATGCATTATGTTCTCTTTACAAAAACACGTTATTAAGAAAAGTCAATAAATGTGGCAAGTTTCAAAAAGTATCCTTTAGGTGACAGAAGCAGTGTGTTTACTTGCCGTTCAAGTCAATCACTTTAACTTTGGTGATATTTGCTTGCCTGTCCATTTTTGCGGCCTCTTGGGCAAAGTTTCAGAATTACGTCGTTTCCTTCAAAACCACTGCTCACACTTTTGAGTTTTAAGGAGAAGGCGGCTCATTTACTCACTTTCTTCTTATTTGGCACTTTAATGCTTGGCATTTTGCAAACTAGAATGAGAGCTGAAATGAAAAAGCAGCGAGCTTGTTTTCCTGCAGTGTGGACTTGTTGGTTAAATGTACTCACATGCAGGCCTGTTGTGTGGCTTCTCAATGGCTCTGGTTGCCTGCATCACTCAAGTGATAATCTATACTCCACCATAAGTCAATAGATGAATTAATAATCTAAAGCATCAGTGAGCAGAGAAACAAGTGGGGTGTGAGACTGACGCTGCTTTCTTTCACAGGGGAGGAATTTGATGTGAGAGCCAACTGTGTTATCAATGCCACGGGACCTTTCACGGACACTGTGCGCAAAATGGACGATAAGGACACCACAGCTATCTGCCAGCCGAGTGCTGGCGTCCACATCGTGATGCCTGGTTACTACAGGTACCCGTGTTCCCGCTCATGCGTCGTCGCCAGAGAAGGAGGGCCGCGAGAAATTGTCTACACGTATTCTTGTAGCATACCTTTCTTAATAATAGATGGCTAACTCACTGTTCAAAATGAGGAGAAATGAGTGAAAAAACAGCTCTTCCAAAACACAAAATGCAAACCGGTCTTGAGAATTTCTTAGTTTTTATGGCAATACTCCTTTTTATGAGTTAGTGATTTGGAATCTGTTTTTGTACTTTTTTCAGCGTACTCATCATCAGAGTCTAAGTCTTAGTATTTTTGAATTTTAACTTTCATGAAAACCCTAAAATTAATTTTGCAAAAATGTCCATAAAAGACATTTACATGAAAGCACTAAAAAGTTCATTTTATAAAATGCCCGGACTTGCTTATGAAGAATCTGAAAATGAGGACCAAATATTCTTATGTTTATAATTTTTGAAATATATTTTGAAAAATAATTTATAATTTCTGATTTATCATTTTGGCAAAGATAATCAGAGGTAGAGAAATGGGCAGGGATAGAGATGAAATAAGAGCAGCTATTAATTGAAAATCCTTTAAGTGGGGTGTTGCACATGAAACTGCAATTTTTATGTGCATTTGAATTTTTAGTATTTTTTATTTTTAATAAATTTGAGAAGAAACGTGTATGATCCTAAGAAACTGATAATGATTACCCCTAATGTACATTTCAAAACATCTGGGGAAAAATTCATGTGTCCATGATGAATATGGAACATTTTTATTTGCATATGTAGCAATCTAATAGGCAAACTAGTACATAATTCTGTGAAATCATGATTTATGTTCAAGGTATTCATTAAGACATCATTTGTAGTTGAGAAATATTAGAAGCCACGTAAGTTTCTAACCGTAGGAGGATGGATAAGTAAATTATGGTGTATCTGCACAAGGGAGTATTATATGTCCATTAAAAATTCTGAATAATTTTAGTGTCCTAGGAAAACCCGAGAGATACAGTGTTAATTTAGAGTGGAGGATACAAGATTGTATGTGTAACATGATCAAACGTTATATAAGTATCTAGAAAAAGATGAAGTATTTTAAATACCCATGGTGATTGCCTGTAGGTGATGTGATTATGAGTAAAAAGTTATAATTTCTAAGTAACGTGGTTAAAATGGGAGTTATCACTCCTATATTCTAATAATTTTCCATAAAAGACATATTTTTAATATTTGATAAAACAGATATACAGACCCATGATATTTCATTTAATATCTGCATTCTTCTAGAATGCTATCCCACCATGTAATATATGATGCTGCTTTATTAGTTTTCCACTAAGTCTTCTTGAAGAGAGTCCAAGATATTGTACCAAGCACACTTCTAATGAGGAAGATATCACACTTCTACTAAGAAGAATATTAACGAAATTTCATATCCACCAGCTTCCAAGGTTTCTTTGTTGTTTTCTAAATGTCTACATATAATTGATAGACATTAGTGTTTTCACTTACAACTGTAGAGACCATGGTGCTTCCAATCTCAATAATAAACACTTATGCAGTGGTGCTTAATAGAGTTTTAAAAACTGTTGAGCAGAAGTTTAGTTCAAATGAAAAGAAGAGAAGTAAATATATGTACATGATGCAAATGTTTCTTGTATATAGAGATTTTCAAAAATAGCTTCAGACACAATTATATGCATTTATTTTGGGTTGGATAAAAATTTGCAAGGTCAGCTAGCTTGTAAGTTTTTGCAAGCATTTTCTTTTAGCAGTACACGTAGTACCTGAAGTATAGACACACACACGTCACCATAATCCTCACATTTGTTTCGATCTTACTTGTGCACTGTGCTTCATGTCTTTATTCTTGTCCCGTGATATCAGAGGACACATTAGTATTCTGTATTATTCCCTAATGTTATTTCTGCCACTTCATAATGACGCTGTTTGGGACAAGCCATTTTATTCTGTAAATCTTAGTTTGCCTGTCGTTAAAATATGAAGACATTCCACTCTTTCCAGTATACAGACAAAGACAGTATGGAGTATGATAAGGTGATACCTTGGTAAAGAACTTTCTGGTTTGTTCATCACTTTACCCCTTGTTAACTGTGCAACTTTGGGAAGCTACTCATTTTCAGCTTCTGGTTCCTTATCTCACGGTAGTTCCTAATTTGTGTACATTTTGACAATGTTCGTTTGTTTATTTTTTCTTTATTTTCTTGACTGCTACATCTACAGCTCCTGGTACTTTATCTAGTACATAATAATGACCAGTAAGTACTTTTTGAATGAGTTCTGCCAACTTTTTGTGTTAACTTGCCCAAATTGAGAGTGTTCCTTTTTCTAATTAAAATTTTAATCTTATATCTATAATGGAATTTTAAATATATAGATATTAAAATATAAAACAAACTATGATTTTTCTTTTTACTGCCCAGATAACTCCCGTAGACAAAAATAAACAAAAGTAATCACTATAGAAAAACAGAAAGATATAGAATGAAAAGTGAAAGTCTCCCTCTTTTCCCCCATGTCCCCAGCTTCAGTTTTTGATAATGCTTCCTTCTGATTTCTTCCATAAAATTTTATGTTTATACTCGCACAAATGTATATCCTTTTAAACATTTTTCATGAAGGAACTCATGCTATACATATGTTCTGTACTCTGCTTTATAATATTCTAACAACAGAGCAGATAGGTGGTTTTTACACAGCAATATAAATATAAATATATATCACCTGCATGTAATATTTTCAAAACAGAATGTCTTTCTTAATCCTAAAAATTAGGCATTAGTTTCAGACCCATTGGAGAAGGCAATGGCACCCCACTCCAGTACTCTTGCCTGGGAAATCCCATGGACGGAGGAGCCTGGTAGGCTGCAGTCCATGGGGTCGCTAAGAGTCGGACTCAACTAAGCGACTTCACTTTCACTTTTCACCTTCATGCACTGGAGAAGAAAATGGCAACCCACTCCAGTATTCTTGCCTGGAGAATCCCAGGGACGGGAGCCTGGTGGGCTGCCATCTATGGGGTCGCACAGAGTCGTACACAACTGACGTGACTTAGCAGTAGCAGTTCAGACCCATGCCTGTAAGTTGTAAACGTGTTAGTCACAGCTGGGTCTGTTTAAGATTCAGTAAGTGATCTCGTTCTACTTTGGGAGAAATTAATATCTCCGTTTTTAGCACCTTGAACCACAACCACTAAACATCCTGTGGGGAACCTTAGAGGGGTGGTCTGGCAGCCCAGTTCCTGTTCAGTCTCTGTTTGCAGATGAGTCCCTTGGTTTGGGATTACAGTCTGGGTTAATTGTTTGGTCCCTCTTTCCGTACTGACTTTGAGCAGCTGTATCGCTGGCATCCGAGGGTTGGTTTTTCTCTCCATATCAAATTGTTCTCTTGGGTGGGTGAGGTCAAGAGATCTCAGACTGAAATCGCTCTCTGGATTTCTCAGTCAGTCTTCACTCAACAGCTGTAACTGAAGGGTTCTACTAGGTCCTCAGAGATGAGTAAGACCTTATGCTGCTGCCCTTCCCTTATAAGCCAGCTAATATAACTTAAGGCCTAGCATTTCAACTAGAACCTGATTAGTTTGACGGTACAGTGACTTCAGGAGCCACTGATTTATTGAGTGTAGGCAGCTAAATGGGGAATGAGGACCAGGTATGCAGTCTACCCTGTTGGGCTACTTTCACAGTTTCTTTATGGCATTTATTAAGCTTATTATGACCCTAACTAACATTCCACATGTGGAATTATCTTGTGCCATCGTAGCAGCTTTCTCTCTTTCTCTGGATTGTTTTAATTTCAGAAAACTCAACACACAGAAATCATTTACTTTTGAAGGCACTCTTTACATTAAGAACTGAGAAGTTGCTGTGTAGCCCAGGGAGCTCAACCTGGGGCTCTATGAAAACCTAGAGGGGTGGAAAGAGGTTCAAGGAGGGAACACATGTATACTTATGACTAATTCACATCGTTGTGTGGCAGAGACAAACACAACACTATAAAGCAATTATCATCCGATTAAAAATAAATTAAAAAAAAAAGCAAATCTGTAATTTTCATCAGAGTTGTGGGTAGATGATCTTACAAAAGTAACTACAATACATCAAATGACTGAAATACATGAAAATAGTTGTCTCCTCCTTTTAGCCTAAAGATGCTTTTTACTACTGATGAGAGGTCAATTTTTTTTTCCATAATGTGTGTGCATACTGCTGGCTCTAACACTGATTGCTGAGTAGTTAACAATAAATTGATTTCAGTTTAAATAAGGGTACTTCAGGATTGCAATGGTCTGCATGAGAAAAATGTTCATTACGTCTAATCCTAGATACACACATAAATTAGCAGCAAGTTTTTTCTGTTGATGTCAAGTGAATTATACATATTGAGAAAAGACCTATGCCTCACCACATTGTATATACCATCCCTATAGTTGACAGCCATTTTCAAACTTTCGTGCGACCTTGCACAATTAATTCTTCATAAGAAAACAAACTTTTCCCTAAGGGTGAGTTATTAATTAGGTAATTTAGAACTGACGAGAAGTATTTCCAAATGGATTCTTAAATTTTTAATACCATTCATTAATAGCTTTGTCTTCCCTCTGTGCTTGTTAATTTTATGTTTGACACATATGTCTTCACTTAAGCAGTTGATTCTCTACAGGTTCCAGTTATGTGTGTGTTGGTAACTATCACATTCACCTTTTAAACTGCTTTTATTGCACTGAAAGGTTTTAAAAGATTCAGTAGTTGTGCTTTTCCAACAGCATTTCATGTCTCAGTTGCTGAATATTATAATTTTATGCTGAAGTTAATCAAGTTTATTGAGTTACTTAGATACATGACAGTATCTGGCCCATAAAAATGGTCATATGTATATCAACATGTACTTTGTTCCTTAAATTTTAGAATATGAATTTATCCTTTTGTTTCAATATAGGACTATTTACCAAATTATAAGTTTGAACTCATGAGCTAATTTCTATCACAAAGTGATGTGTTTAATCAAAGGGCATATCAACCCAGGATCAAATTAGGTGCTTACAAACCATATTTTAACTAGTTTCTTTTAAGATATTTAGCAAGTTTTATGGCAAGTACAAAGGAAAACTTTAGACATATAGAGACTGAAAATACTCGATACTTATAGCTCTCAGTGTATTTTTTGAAAGTAAAATTACTTTAGGTAACCCTGAGTGAAGATGAGATCCTCACTGAAGGTTTAAATGATTGACACACTTTGAGGTGATTTTTGCATGTGCTAAATAGAAGAATAATATCCGTTTGTTTCCAAGGCAAACCATTCAATATCACGGTAATCCAAGCCTATGCCCCAACCAGTAGCGCTGGAGAAGCTGAAGTTGAACGGTTCTCTGAAGACCTAGAAGACCTTTTAGAACTAACACCCAAAAAAGATGTCCTTTTCATTATAGGGGACTGGAATGCAAAAGTAGGAAGTCAAGAAACACCTGGAGTAACAGGCAAATTTGGCCTTGGAGTATAGAATGAAGCAGGGCAAAGGCAAACAGAGTTTTGCCAAGAGAACATATTGGTCATAGCAAACACCCTCTTCCAACAACACAAGAGAAGACTCTACACATGGACATCACCAGATGGTCAACACCGAAATCAGATTGATTATATTCTTTGTAGCCAAAGATGGAGAAGCTCTATAGAGTCAGCAAAAACAAGACCAGGAGCTAACTGTGGCTCATGAACTACTTATTGCCAAATTCAGACTTAAATTGAAGAAAGTAGGAAAAACCACTAGACCATTCAGGCATGACCTAAATCAAATCCCTTATGATTATACAGTGGAAGTGAGAAATAGATTTAAGGGACTAGATCTGATAGACAGAGTGCATGATGAACTATGGACTGAGGTTCCTGATATTGTACAGGAGATAGGGATCCAGACTATCCCCATGCAAAAAAAGCAAAATGGCTGTCTGAGGAGGCCTTACAAATAGCTGTGAAAAGAAGAGAAGCGAAAAGCAAAGGAGAAAAGGAAAGATATTCCCATTTGAATGCAGAATTCCAAAGAATAGCAAGGAGAGATAAGAAAGCCTTCCTCAGCGATCAATGCAAAGAAACAGAGGAAAACAAAAGAGTGGGAAAGACTAGAGATCTCTTCAAGAAAATTAGAGATATCAAGGGAACATTTCATGCAAAGATGGGCTCAATAAAGGACAGAAATGGACCTAACAGAAGCAGAAGATATTAAGAAGAGGTGGCAAGAATACACAGAAGAACTGTACAAAAAAGATCTTCACAACCCAGATAATCACGATGGTGTGATCATTCACCTAGAGCCAGACATCCTGGAATGTGAAGTCAAGTGGGCCTTAGAAAGCATCACTACGAACAAAGCTAGTGGAGGTGATGGAATTCCAGTTGAGCTATTTCGAATCCTGAAAGATGATGCTGTGAAAGTGCTGCACTCAATATGCCAGCAAATTTGGAAAACACAGCAGTGGCCACAGGACTGGAAAAGGTCAGTTTTCATTCCAGTCCCAAAAAAAGGCAATCCCAAAAAATGCTCAAACTACCGCACAATTGCACTCATCTCACACGCTAGTAAATTAATGCTCAAAATTTTCCAATCTAGGCTTCAGCAATATATGAACTGTGAACTTCCAGATGTTCAAGCTGGTTTTAGAAAAGACAGAGGAACCAGAGATCAAATTGCCAACATCTGCTGGATCGTTGAAAAAGCAAGAGTGTTCCAGAAAACATATATTTCAGCTTTATTGACTATGCCAAAGCCTTTGACTGTGTGAATCACAATAAACTGTGGAAAATTCTGAAAGAAATGGCAATACCTGATCTGCCTCTTGAGAAACCTATATGCAGGTCAGGAAGCAACAGTTAGAACTGGACATGGAATAACACACTGGTTCCAAATAGGAAAAGGAATACGTCAAGGCTGCTTATTTAACTTATATGCAGAGTACATCATGAGAAACGCTGGGCTAGAGGAAGTACAAGCTGGAATCAAGATTGCCGGGAGAAATATCAATAACCTCAGATATGCAGATGACACCACCCTTATGGCAGAAAATGAAGAGAAACTAAAAAGCCTCTTGATGAAAGTGAAAGAGGAGAGTGAAAAAGTTGGCTTAAAGCTCAACATTCAGAAAACTAAGATCATGGCATCTGGTCCCATCACTTCATGGGAAATAGATGGGGAAACAGTGGAAACAGTGTCAGACTTTATTTTGGGGGGCTCCAAAATCACTGCAGATGGTGATTGTAGCCATGAAATTAAAAGACGCTTACTCCTTGGAAGGACAGTTATGACCAACCTAGATAGCATGTTAAAAAGCAGAGATGTTATTTTGTCAACAAAGGTCCATCTAGTCAAGGCTATGGTTTTTCCAGTAGTCATGTATGGATGTGAGAGTTGGACTGTGAAGAAAGCTGAGTGCCAAAGAATTGATGCTTTTGAACTGTGGTGTTGGAGAAGACTCTTGAGAGTCCCTTGGACTGCAAGGAGATCCAACCAGTTGATACTAAAGGAGATCAGTCCTGGATGTTCATTGGAAGGACTGATGTTGAAGCTGAAACTCCAATACTTTGGCCACCTCATGCGAAGAGTTGACTTATTGCAAAAGACCCTGATGCTGGGAGGGATTGGGGCAGGAGGAGAAGGGGACAACAGAGGATGAGATGGCTGGATGGCATCACCAACTCGATGGACATGAGTTTGAGTAAACTCTGGGAGTTGGTGATGGACAGGGAGGCCTGGTGTGCTGCAGTTCATGGGGTCGCAAAGAGTCAGACACGACTGAGTGACTGAACTGAACTGAACTGAAACAGAAGAATTGAAGCCTACTCTCTCCTGTATCTCGTGTAGACTACAGATAGTGATTTCTTTCTACAAATAGTGATTTCTGCCATGTCCAATTTCTTATGGACATAGCAGGCATTTCATGGGGCTGACGAATATTTGCAAAGAAATACTATTACTCCTTGTAGTTTCAATGAAGAAGATGCATTAATTAACCTGACTACAGATTTCTTTTTCATAAAAAAGTCATTTTTGGTTTGCTTTTAAACAGTATTCTGACTCTCATCCTTACACATTTGAATCTTGAGTTTCTTGTTTTTTTAATTTTAAGAGAAAGATAGCTATAAATAGTTGACTGTATGTCCTTTAAAATGTGTGAGCATAACATAATTTTTGGAGTTTATTGAAACCAAATAGAATTATATTTCCTATCTAAGAAATATTATTAATAGAAGCTGAAAATATATTTACAGAAAATAACTTTAACATTGGTTCCTTATGAGAATTCAGTCAAATTTAGCTATCTGAAGATCTGTAGTGTTCAGTTATTTAAAAATGACACTTTGAGTTTCCTCCTGCCATTTTAACAATGTCTCCAAAATTTTAGTATGGTTAAAACAACAGTTACTGATGATTCAATAACACAACTGGGCAGGTTTTGTCAGTGTTTATTTTCAGTTGCCTCTTCTTGCAAGTGTGTTTTCCAATTTGGTTTTATAATATTAAGTAGGTATTAGAAAAATTCTTAATATTTTTTAAGATTTTGGTCTAGCAGAAGAGGCGTCCTTAAAGCTTAATTTAGTAGTATAATACATTGGCATCTTCTGCCTATTTAAAGATTTTCATTGCTAAAATATTTCTCTCCTTTTTGATCTTATCCCAGTACACTGTTATCCAGGTAGTAGTAGAAAACTGAGCCCTTTTCTTATGGATGCATTTCTTGAGATTTCAGTAAAATTGAAATAAAGTAAGAAATCTCATATTGGGTGAAGTGGTATAAGCTTATTCAGGCACAAGAGAGTAAAGAACTTTTTGATTACGTTTTAGTTTCTAGAAAGTTAGACCCTTCACTTTTCTCACAGATTTCTCAGACCTTATACTGAAAGATGTACCAAATGTCAAACGTCCCAGGAAAATACTTTCCATGGGCTTGAAAAAAGGTTGAAGAACTATTCTTAAGTGACCATCATGAAAGAAATTATAGGCATTTTATCCTGCTGACTTTATCTGATGTGAATGGTGCAAGGGATCTAAAAACCCAAACAATCGGAATTGAAGTCCACGTACTTAACTCACCTTACATTGCTGGTTTTGCTGTGGAATATTATTATAATCACACTTGCTTCATTCCTTTTGTAATACCATTTTTTTTTCTTTTAGGAATTTCTAGATTAGGTTAGCGGCAGTCAAAGTAATAGTTCGTGTATTCCTAGTTTGCTTATATGAGAATTAGTGAATAAAATGTTTTAGAATGCAGATTAAGATCAAACTCTGGCTGATTTCAGAAATATGTGATCCTTTCTTTTCACCCCAGCCCAGAGAGCATGGGACTTCTTGACCCAGCGACCAGTGATGGGAGAGTTATTTTCTTCTTGCCCTGGCAAAAGATGACTATAGCTGGCACTACCGACACTCCAACTGATGTTACACACCATCCCATTCCTTCTGAAGAAGACATCAACTTCATTTTGAATGAAGTGCGTAACTACTTGAGTTGTGACGTTGAAGGTAACATGCATTCCTTTAAGTTTACTCTCCCTCTTTTATATCTCCCAAACCATCCCAGCTTTCACTAGGTAACTGCCATGCACCCCCACTGACTCATCTTCACGCCTGGCTGGCTCTGACTCTTATGTACTGACCGCTTCTTCTGGAAGCCTTAAGAAGGCCGAGGCATAACACAATAGGAGGAAGTTGCCTTTTTTCCCCCTCCACTTTCTATATCCACATGAAATGCATACCATCCTCGCCTGGTCATTTCTGATAGCAAGATTGGAGTGCCAATCCGGCAGAGCTCTAAACACCCATGCTTTTCTAGGAGAGTATGAAATGTTTGCATCACTAATTTCTAGAGCTTGTGAAGGTATGATTTACAAATCTAGGAAACCCATAGGAAAGAATTAGTTAGAGAAATGAGAGGATAGAGGAATATATTCTAAGAAATTTAGTGAGCTGTTACTATGTGGAAACTGGAATATTAACTAAGGATTTAGCTAATAAGTATGCTATTTTAATTGAAAAAGATAAAGTTCACTTCTTTCCAGTGCTAACCCGAACATGCATTCTTTTAACTTGGATGTCATAGTATTTTCTCCAGTGGATATATATGGTATAATGCATTTTTTTTAATCCACGGTAGTTTCAAAAGTTTCCCAGCATTATTTCCTATCTCACTTAATAACCTCACCATCCATCTAGTCACCCAGGCTGGAATGGCATCCTTATCTTTGCTGATCCTTCTCTTTCTACATCCAGTCCAGTTCCCGTCTCTGCTTACTCTGAAGTATCATGTAAATCTCCTCTCACTTCCATTGCCCTGGTTCAAACCTATGTCGTTTTTCACTTAAACAGTTGCATTGACCCCCTAACTAGCTTTTGTGTATCAGGTCTCTGTCCTCAACTGGTCTGGTCCTTCCATCAGAACTCTCTAAAACACAGTTCTGATCATCACTTCCTTGCTCAAAAATATCCCCTTGATGTCTCATCATTAACTTTAGCAAAGTTATTGAACTGTCTCATATGGAATCTAAGGCTTTTCATGACTTGTCTTGGCAGGTTTGGATTCAACTATTCCACCTCTGTGCATTGACTTACTTAATTATAATTGCATGACTTATTATTTCCAAATCAGGTCACGCACTTTTAAATCTCCATGCCTTGTTTATGTAGGTCGAAGTGTTTTTCTTGGATAGTCTTTCCCCCAAGTTCTCATTTTGGCAAAATATTATTTATACCTGAGAAGCCACCCATCTTTTGTAGCCCCTTAGATCACTGAGCTAGTATATCACAACAGTGTATAATAGGCAATAATGTAAGATAGAGTCTCACCTGGCGCTCCTTAAGGCTAAGCCTTCTTTATTCAGTGTCGAAGCTTGTTATATATATGCTGGTATACCACTTATGAATATTTTAAATCAAAACAAATTAGATGCTTTCAAGGTTTTTGATGCTAGTAGCAATTTGAAAATCTTTTTATATGAAAGTATAAAATTTAAGATTTTTGAAAAATAGTCATCATCTGTTTATATCAGGAATCTCCTATAATGTTGGCTTCAATGGAGGCCATGCAAGGACATAGTTTTTGTCTTAATGTGACTCACTAGCATCTATGAATCCTCTTTCCCTAAGGAATTCTTTTCATTATGTGATCACACATTTACAATCAAACAAAACAAACTGCTTACAAAGTGGTTTAGCGGATTCTCCTAGTTTGACTGATTGATCCATATTGTATAGTTTTAGTTTCTTCTAATTTCAAATAATGGTTGTAATTTCATTTTGAGTAGAGTCTCTTTGGATATCTGTAATAATAGTATAAATATATTAAGTACATGTAATTGAAATCTATGTGGCTAAATGTATACTCTTTCACACAAACATACATACTCACACATAGTTATTTAAGAAATAGTTATGCCCAGTTTAATATCCATTGCAATTTCAGCTTGCTACTTTTTCCCCTCATTTTGTGAGATAGAAGGTGCTTCATCTGGGTATGATTGTATTTTAATGAACTGATTATTGTTGCTGAATCCTGCTTCATTTCACATTTACCTGGATATATTTTTTAAAAGTGGGTTTATATTGGAGTCCAAGAGAAGGAAGTTTACATTGCTAGAGCAAGAAACAAAATTAATTCAAGAGCAGAGAGCTATAGTTGACAGGTTCCAAATTCTTAAAGTTCAGATGCACGAATGAGAAATCTAACTGCTTATATGTGCCCAGAGACTGGATGTGCTGGAAACAGGTATAGGTTCCAAGAAGCTGCTGTGCCCATATCATGGGTAGGGATTTCCACTAGTGAAATGAGACTTGGGCTAGAACAGACACCAAGCCTACACCCCTCACTTTTATTCTGCTTACTGATAGATAGAGGACTTGGTAATACCATCTAGGGCCTCCTTGGTCTGTAGAGAGCTTTTCAGTTAACATACCTTTTGGTAGTCAGGTTAATTGGTGAAACTAACCAAGAATTTTTGTCAACTTTGATTTTTTTGTAAAAACGGATTGAAATTAATATGTGGACACTGTAAATCACCTTTCCACTGGTGGTCTCAGGAATCTTGAGGTTAAGAATTCTCCAGGTAGCAAACATCAGGATAAAAGCAGAAGTGACAGCTCTTGCTTGTACTTCATTTATTTCCCCGTGCTCACCATCTATCACACCTTTCCTCCTTATCAGCTTATCCTTTTAAAAGCAGTTCAGCCACAATGATTCTTTATGGTTTTTCTTCATTCTTATTTATTGGACTGAAGTCCTCAGGGTATATGAGGAATTACCCTCAGTCTTAGTAGAGTCCTAGTTAGCTAAAGTATGTCTATTTCCAAAGTAAAGGCATTCTCATTTGTATTTTTTCCAAGGAATTTTGGTGAAACCTGATATTCTCTTCTATACTGATGAAATGTGAAAGTGAAACTCAGCTTCAGGTCCCATTCAGTCTTTTTAAGTACATGTTGTTGCTGCACATATTTTAATCTTATTTTTCCTCAGTGGGTAATGCATGCTTGATTTTTAAAAACTCTGCCCTCATGGAGAGCTTTTTATGTAAGACACTCTGCTAAGCCTATTGCTTATATTATCTGATTCCTCATAACAACCTTATTAGTTTTATTTTGTAATTTCCATTTTATAGGTGAAGAAACTGAGGCCCAGTGACTTTAAGTTACTTTTCCATAGGTCATTCATGTTGGAGATGATATTGTGTATGTGAGTCTAGCCCTAATATTTATGCTTCTAAACATTGTGCATATTCCAGTTGGTAGTCCTGGGTTTGCTGCATGATGTGATATTATATCCACTAGGGAGTGGATTACTTCTCTCAGTTCATTTCATGGAAACCTCTAGACACCTTCAGAGTGATGGTGACCTTTGCTCTCAAGTGACTGGCCTTATTTGGATGTGACTGTTAAAGTAGAGGTTTCATTTCTCATAACCAGTCCCTTGGGCCAAGCAGTCTTCTCTACAGATTTAAAAAAAATAGAAACTTTGTGTAGATCCCAGAGCCATGTTTTTGAAATGGTCAGTATTCACCAGGATTGAAATAATCATTTAAAAATGATTTAATAGATGGATAAGTAAAATTCTGACAACAGTCTCTGAGCCTCCCCAAATGGCTATATCCTTAAGAAAAAAAAAAAAGTGTCAAATCTTAACACTCCATGCTGTTCACAGCAGCTGCCACACTTCTGCAAAATGCGTCGGAACAATTCTGAAAAGCATTTTGTCTGTTGGGAATGAGACCATGTCTTCTTTTACAATTTAGAAAGCTCACCATTCACAGGCTGAATTTTCTAGATTACTTGTTTGTTCTTTTCTGAAATGGGTAATTGATAGTTGTGCCGTGTGTATTGGATTAGGAGGAAAAATGATCTTTTGAAAAATCTATCATTAAGTCTGCCGTGTAGAGGTTAATCAGAAGGATGCAGTGGCGAACCAAGCTGTGACTTAAAGGGGTGGAGGGGGACAGAAGATCTGCAGAGTGCTTTATCCATGGAGTTTTTCTGGAGTGCTTCTCTAGGCAGCTTCTCTAGTTGTACACAGATTTTCACATATGCAATTAGTAGTGTTTATAGATTGCCTGTTATTCAATTAACAACGGAGCTGGCCGTATCAACTCACTGCAGACCTGCCTTTTCACTGCCAGAGATTGTACCAGGGTTATCAACTTACACAGGCTTGGATGTTTTCCAGCTGTTTAATTACAGTGTCACGCGCTTTGCTTTTTCTAGTTTCATTAGTTTATAAATGTAATATGGTATCTTATTTCTGTGATTAACACTTCATTTCTGCAGGTTAAACATGCTGGTAGAGAAGTATTGATTTCTGACACTGTTTCCCCTGTATTCGTTTAGATATTTTCACATGCTTTTTATTGATTTTTTTGAAAGTGGCAAACATGAGACAGAGCACCCCAAAATGTATGGCTAAATAACTGATGTGAAGCAAAACCATACATTTAGCTCTTAATTATCACTTCCTGGGGGCTGCCTTTTCTATTAACTTTTAAAACCAATGCTTCTCTTACCAAGTTTTTAAGAATAAAAATACTAATTATAATTGGAAACAATTATACAGCACTTAGTCTTTTCAACCAGCTGTGAAAAATGTCTATTCAACTTTACTATTTATATTTTTGTCATTATATAATTTATACACTAAAACCTGAATGAGTTATTTACAATAAAAATAATGTAATGAAAAGAATTCTTAACCATGGTGGTAGAAGGACTATGTTATTTCCTCACTATCCTTCTGAAAATATTGACAAGAACCTTTATACACTCCAGAGGTACTCGCAATTGGCACTTAAAAATCAACTAGGTGCCATCTGGGTGAGCTGCTCTCATAATGATGTTTACCAAGAATTTTTTTTCAGTTTTAATAGTAGTGTTGTTTCCTCTCATCTTGTTTTATTAAGTGCAAGTGTTAATCATTCAGTCATGTCCACCTCTTTGCAATACCATGGACTGGAGGTCACCAGGTTCTTCTGTGGATGGAATTCTCCAGGCAAGAATACTGGAGTGGGTTGCCATTCCCTTCTCCAGGGGATCTTCGTGACCCAGGGATAGAAGTTTGGTCTCCTGCATTGCAGGTGGATTCTTTACCGTCTGAGCCATCAGGGAAGCCCTGGTGCTTTTATTTACTTTATTTATTAAAGTTTTCAGTTACTCTAAAACAGGATATCTAGTTATTTAAATATGTAATCATTAGAAACCTAAAGTCTAGTATATTGGCTCAGAGGCCAAAATGTTATTGCTTTTGATTTTGTAATGTCAGCTCTTATTTGATATAAAAACTTCAGAGAATTTTCTAATGTGCCATTTCATATTTATTGATCACAATTCATGACTTCTACTTGATACAGTATTTGAGGTACTGAGAAATACTAGAATTGATACTGCCAAAGACTCAACATGGTGAGGAAGAGGCAACAGTACTGCCATCTTGCCTAGCTATCTTGACAATACGAGGACCAGGAAAATCAAGGTGAATAGAATCTTTGAGTTCTGAAGCATACAAGCTTGAGTTGAGGTTTTTTTCTCACATATTGTACCATGGTGAGTTCTTGGCTACAGCCAAGATGCTGTTCTTGGCTAGGTGATGTTCTTGGCTACAGCTGGAATGATAGGGTCAATTTCTGGGTAAGAACTTGAGGGTAGGAGTACTTAATTTAGTAAAAATATTTTCATTTCTTTGAATTGATGAGATTAGTAGGAGAGAAGGATACTTTGAAATGATGAGTATGGAACATGCTGTGACAGTACAGTATTTTGGAGAGAGTCACATTCTATTACAGCAGATTATATTCTGTCAGATTTCACTGAATTGTTGCTCCATTGGAGACATGGGCAAGGTGGCGATGGGGGAGGTACCCAGTTTGACAATTTACCAGGACGAGTCTGAGATGTACTACTTGACAGTTTTGTTCTAGAACTGCCTTATGCAAAATTATAGCCTATATGTGTGACTATCATGTGCCTATTTAAATTTAAATTAGTTAAAATGAGATAAAGTTTGAAATTCAGTTTCTCAGTTGCATGGACCACATTTCAAGTGCTTCATAAGCTCATGCAGCTAGAGGCTAGTGAATTAGACAGTATAGGTACAAAACAGTTCCATCTCTGCAGAAAAGTCTATGAAACAATTCTATGGAAGCTAGAGGTACTTATGTAGACAATTTAGAAGCAAATACTCAATTTATTAGAGTCATTGAATTTGTATTTTTTGTTGTTATAAAATAAAGAATGTGTTATCTTGTAAAAGAAGGTCTTCAGATATAAGAAGTCTCAAGAGGTGACTAATTTAGTGATTGAGCAAAATCTTCAGTGTGGGACCCTATTGCTTTCACACCACCACCCTGCAGGTTGGCAGTTGTTCCCCATTTTGTCACAATATGGCTGCAGATGTTCCTAGCAGTATTGGAAGGTCCTCTATGCTATCTGTCCACTGCTCGTGAATCTGTTTCTAAAGAGAACTTTAATTAGAGTTTAACAGTGTGCAAGGTTTCCATTGTGGGTGAATAAGTAATAGAGAGAAACCTTTTAGTTCAGTTTGCTGCTGTCTTTTCTACAAGAAGTTAGAATTCATGTTTCATGTGTTTAGCTGTGCTGTTCCCTGTGGGCCTAGATTATACCCACAGCCCTGACTGGTCACTACTTAATTTAGATGGTAGAGAGGTAAAAAGTGCTTTATTCTTCATCAACTCCCCCTGCCCCCTGCAAAATGGCATTTTGAATAATCCATACAAGTTATTAAATCTCAAGGTTGGGAGAAAACTGATAGACAATAGATCCCCTGGTCCAACCATACTCTAACGTAACGATATAACAATGCTGTAGGCCATAAAACCTGATTCCTACTTTAAATGTAATCTAAAATTTGATTATCCTAAATATATCTTTTTAAGTAAATTTTATCTCAGTATTCATTTGATACAATTCTCAGACTAAAAAACTGCATGGTAAGATATCAAGCAAAATAAATTAAGGTTCTTGACATGTTATAAAATCTTCCTGATAATGTTTTCTTTTCCTTTTTTTGAGTATCAATTTCAAAAATAAGGATTAAAAATCATATCAATATATATTGTGCTTCATTTAGTTTTCCTCCCTGAATGAAAAACTCAAATGTTTTAGGTTGGTCTTTTTGTTTCAGATAGTACAGATTCATAGATGCATTTTTCTGCCTGTTATACCAGAAAAGGTAAAGCATTTGCCACAAGGATTATTTACATGTGCTTTAAATTTACTTTAGAAAGTTTAGTTTTCCACCAAATAATTTTAAGATCAGTCAGAAGGCTGTGAGAATTGAAACCAAATTCCTGATCAGTGTGGCTGCCTAAGGAATTTCAGAGACACACTTTGAGACTTTGCAGTGACCACAATGACGTTCTAAGTGGTTGGCTAAGTTTTATTTTTGACTCAGAGGGCAGTTTGAACCCTAATGGAAAATAGTGGTAATTTCCTAGTTAAGCTTTTTGTAAAGATTAAAATATTGCATGGTTTGTGTTGAGGTTTTATAAGACTTTTGTGGAATTGTGTGGAGTGAGAATTAATCCCCATTCCATGGAAACCATCAGGATTAAACCTGTTGAAGAAGATGCCCCCTTAGGGGGACAAATCTAGGGATGGTATGCCAGCATCAAGATGATATGGGCATCCAGTTAACAAGACTGGAAGCCTTAGGTTTTCCTCACTAGCTTATGAGTTTTATTTTCCCTTTGTTTAGATTCATTGTTGGAATATGGGTTTGATTAAACACCCCTGTAGAGATGTATGGGTACCTCTTCTTTCAGACTGTAGTCATATTAAGAGTGTGGCCCTTAACGAGCTATGCCAAAATATGTCAGATTACCTTAGCCTTAGATGAAGTTATCTTTACCAGACATCTATCTTTCATTTGAGATCAAGATGGAGAGATTGTCTGTCATCCAGTAAAACTTTTTAGGGTCTTTTCCCTGTACTTGGTTATGTGCTTTTTTTTAGACTGGTCTAATATTTAGTCACTTCAAAGAGCCTTTGTGATTCCTTACACAAGAATTTGCTGGATGTATATTTAAATATTTTTCAAAGTCTACTTTGTCTAAATATATAGAAGGTTCACTATATAAGAACACACAATTCACATGTGAATGGGATCTGAAATCCAAATTGCCCTCTTCTTCTAATAAGTATTTTTGTCTTTTCTGGGAAGAGATAGCAAGATATATTCTTGGAGGAGATATGACAACTCATAAGTCTTCTGGTTTGTTCAGTTTGTTTTTGTTTCTGTTTTACTGTTGTTGTTGTTCTTTGTAACTACTGCAGATTGTCCCAGCTGAGGGCTGCTAACATTATTTTGTTTCCTCTTTGAGAACCCATATCAGTGATTTTTCCAGTTCTTTGCTTTTTTTCACCTCCCTCACCATTTTTCTGGCTGCTCTGCACAGCATGCAGGATCTTAGTTCTCCTACCAGAGGTCAAACCTGTGCCCCTTGCAATGGAAGCACGGACCTAACCCCTGGACCTAACCAAGGTCCTAACCACTGGACTGCCGGGGATGTCACCATCCCCATTGTAACTTACCACTCATTTAGCTCTTATATCTAAGGGCTTTTCCTCCCTTTTAAAGTACATATTATGTGTTCCTTTTACTGAACTATGTTCTGCTTATTAATTATTTCATGGTCTTGTTGAGATGTCTTTGAGTCATCCTCTTAACTCTTGGCATTGATCCTTCCCAGTGAGAAGAGGGGATGTCCTGGCTGCATGGAGCGGTATTCGCCCCCTTGTGACAGATCCCAAGTCTGCAGACACGAAGTCCATCTCCCGAAACCATGTTGTGGACATCAGCGAGAGTGGCCTTATCACTATAGCAGGTACAGGATGCTACCTTGTTGTTCAATGTGCTTTAGATAGCAACTTCAGTTAAATTCTCATATCAAAATCTCTTTTAATGCTAATGAACAGAAGGTTTTTTTTTTAATGATTCTGAGTAACATCTTACCCATGGCTTCACCACATTTGTTATAAACAACAGGTGAATTTTCTTATTAATAAGTTGAGAAATGGTTAACTGTAAGAAAATTGGGTAGTAACCTGACGAATGGCTTATCAATGTATTTGTAGGTGGAAAGTGGACAACCTATCGATCTATGGCAGAAGATACCATAAATGCCGCAGTCAAGGCACACAATTTGAAAGCAGGACCAAGTAGAACAGTTGGGCTTTTCCTTCAAGGGGGCAAAGACTGGAGCCCCACACTCTACATCAGGCTCGTCCAGGACTATGGACTTGAAAGTGAGGTGGGTGTGCATTGCCACATCATCTTACTCTTGACTTAATCTCACTGTTGCCAGTAACAGGATCGGCAACCACGGGGCCTCCATGGCTTTGAGTTTACTATTGCTCAGTTTTTTCTGACAGTGTACTGTGGGAGTGAACTAATACAAAAAAATATTTTGCTTTAGTTGCCTAAAAAGCAATGCATGTTTTGGTTTCTGTTTTAGAATCTAGGGTTTGTTTGGCTTGTTCCTAGCAGACAGGACCTCCCAAATACTTTCTCTCTTGAGCATAAGGAAGGCTGTTCTTCAGAAGTGATATCAGGAGCACAATGAAGCTGAAGCTTCATCAGTCACTGGTACAGTGATACATGTGTAGTAGACTTTGTGCTGGCCTAAGCATTCGGAGCCCATGTGGTTTCCTCCCACGAAATCAAAATCAAATGCTCTCCTAGGATTATTAGTTACAGGCTGTTAAAAAAAAAAAAAGAAAACCTGACGAGATAAGCAGGTACATTTTTTTGCTTTGTATCCAGAAGCTATTGATACTTCAGAGGACCTGCCTGATGCAGTTTCATTTCCTTAGGTGGCCCAGCATCTTGCCGCCACCTATGGTGATAAGGCTTTTGAGGTGGCCAAGATGGCAAGTGTGACGGGAAAACGGTGGCCCATTGTTGGAGTGCGTCTTGTGTCGGAATTTCCATACATTGAAGCAGAGGTATGTAAATGGCCCTGTGGAAGTTTCCCATCTGCCCTGGGATACTTTTCATCTATTCAATGTTCATCTTCTTTAGAAATTAAACATAGCTAAGTTTTAATGCAGAAATATCAAATGGATATTTGATATCCATTTGATATCAAAAATGTCTGCCCAGCACAGTTCCTTTCACTTACATGATTTTAATTTCATCTCTGAAGTGACATTGATAGTGATAACAATAATCATAGAAAATATGGGTTTCTTTCCCCTCCACAGAGCTATCCCAAGTCTTATTGACTCAGTTGTTTGCCCCTTTTGAGAGTTTGTAGCTCCTCAAGTTTGTACCACTTATGTTGTGCCTGTGACTTTTTTTTTTTGACATGGACCATTTTTCAAGTCTTTATTGAATTTGTCACAGTGTTGCTTCTGTTTTATGTTTTGGTTTTTTGGCCACCAGGCATTTGGTATCTTAACTCCCTGACCAGGGATCAAACCTACACCCTCTGCATTGGAAGGCAGAGTCTTAACCGGTGGACCGCCAGGAAAGTCCCTGATGATATGTCTTGACATATATAATTCACTACATCTTAAACATGGGTGTCCAATAAGCATTTTGTTGTTGATTGAATGCAAGACTTCTGTCATCTGATTACTCTGAGACATAAAACTGTGGCCAGCCTTCAGAGATGAGACTGTAACTTTTAAATTTTAACTTTAAACTTCCTCTTTGCCTATTCAGCTACGTGTATTAACATCCTTGTCATAACAAAAGAAGTGATTACTGTGGATGGTAACTGAGGAGTGATGCAGTTTGCATGTTTGGGCCAATTTCTGGTCAAGGAGAAGACGTAACTCTTATCCAGATTGTTCCAATTTTCAACTCTCCTTTGGCAGGCAGAAAACTGGGGAACTTGTGTGATGTCACTATTTGCTTCATGCCTGCTAGAGGGGACCAGAGTATGTAAAGAAAAATGTCGCTGTACCTAAGCATGGATTTAGGTGAAGCTTTATTTCTCTCCTTTTAAAAAACACGTAAATTAATCATTTTACTTTAATTCAAACCCAGGTGAAATACGGGATTAAGGAGTACGCTTGTACCGCCGTGGATATGATTTCGCGTCGTACTCGCCTGGCCTTCCTAAATGTGCAGGCGGCAGAGGAGGCCCTACCCAGGATTGTTGAATTGATGGGCCGAGAACTGAATTGGGATGATTCTAAAAAAGAGGTATTATATAGAAGTCTCTAAAACAACATTTTCCATTATAGACATGGAATGTCTTAATCTGTTAGTAGAGGCTAACAGTTATTTCCTCTTGTTTTAATTGGAGGGCAGTGGCTTTACGCTGCCGTGTTAGTTGCTGCCGTACAACCAAGTGAATCAGCTCCGTGAATACCCATGTCCCCTCTGTCCTGGGTCTGCTCCCCAGCCCCCACCCCATCCCACCCCTCCAGGTCATCACAGAGCATGGGGCTGCACGCCGGTTGAGGCACATACAGCAGGTTCCCGCTGGCTATCTGTTTTACACACAGTGGTGCATATCTGTCAGACCGAATCTTCCAGTTTACCCTCCCCCTTACCCCTCTGCCCTCTGCCATGGCCGCATATCTGTTCTCTGCATCTGTGTCTCTTTTCCTGCCCTGCAAATAGGTTCAGAAATTAGCATAGTTTTCAATGGTGACTTTATAATTCCTGCCAATTTCTGTGTGTGTTTAATACTACTAGGCCTTAGGAAACTGGAAAGATATTCTTGTAACAAATATGTCATCATAACAAATTCTGGTAACAAATATCCTTGTAACCAAATATTCTTCTTGGTTGTTTTTGGAAAATCCCATATAGAAAAATGTTCTAAAATTTGTGGTCATAATTCCTGAAAAAGTAAGATAATAATGATTGTGGGTAGAACCTTTTCTGGTTTTCACTGAAAACATTCTTAGAATGTATTCTTCAGTGAAATTCACACTCCTGCAAGTTTGCCTTTGGTAGGAAATTGTGGTTTTATGGCCTGACCACAAATGCTTATTGATTTGTGTCATTTGAAACTTTATATTTATATCCAAATTAAAAAAAAGAAAGCCATTGATGTTCAGATGTCCACATATACAGCCCAGGGCCTCTTCTAATAAACAGATCGTCATGATTTTTAATTAAACCAAAGTTTCAGGCAGAGGCATTTTCTTGTATTTATTCAGAAACTATTCCCTGTGTTCGTTGGTTTAGTTCCTTTCCCCTGGTCTTTCTTGAACCCGTTCCATTTAGGCTCCTTCACAGCCACTTTGCTGTCAGTGGCTCTGGTCACACTTTCCAGGCGCCTCCACGTTGCTCTATGTTATTGGCTTTCCTCATCCTTTTAGTTAGCCAGCTAGTGGCCTTCCTAGAGTTGATTCCTCCCTCTTTCCTAAACACCACCTGTCTTAGTCTATTCAGGCTGCTCTGACAGGATACCACAGACTGAACGGCTTACACAACATAAATGTATTCCTCACAGTTCTGGAGGCTGGAAATCTGAGATCAGGGTGCCAGGGTGAGATGGTTGGGTTCTGGTGAGAGCCTTCCTCCTGGCTTTCAGACAGCTGCTTTCTGGAGGAGATGCAGGTAGGGGGCACTCTCTGGTCTGTTCTGTTGAGTGTGCTAATCCCAACAAGGTTTATTTAAAATTAGTTACCTCCCCAAAGTCCCATCTCCAAATCCTGTCATATTGGAGGTTAGGCTGTCAGGATATGAATTTGGGAGGATACAATTCAGTCCATGTAGTATATCCCAGGTGGCACTAGTGGTAAAGAATCCTGCTGCCAATGTGCTCGATGCAGGAGACCCAGGTTTGATCACTGGGTTGGAAAGATCCCCTGGAGAAGGAAATGCAACCCACTCCAGTATTCTTACCTGGAGAATTCCATGGACAGAGGAGCCTGGTGGGCTACAGTCCATGGGGTTGCAAAGAGTCGGACACGACTGAGCAACTAACAGTCTGTTAGAATCAGTCTTCAGAGATGAAGCCATAGCCCTACATTTAAAATATTCTCTATCAGTCATTTTCATGCCACATGTGTAGTGCACTGATGGTAGAAATCACTGAAAAGAACTTCTTAACCCTGGTCACAGTGCTGTCAGGCATAACCTTTACCCTCATTTTATAGATGAGAAAACAGACTCAGGGAGTAAGTCCTGGTGAGAGTTCATACAGCTAGTAGATTGTGGAACTGGGATTGAAGCCAGGTGTCCAGATCCCGGAGCACACCCTTTTCCCACCCCGGCCTGTTGCCTCTGCATTGGTGGAACTGGTTTATATAGCTCTTCTGGTTTTGAGTTTGGGTTTGGCCAGTTTTGAAGCTATATAGTGAGGCAACACTAGAGTGAAACTTACTCCTGTGCTACGGCCACTCATTTCTACCATACAGAAGGGCTGGGGATAATGGGTTCCTGTAAAAATTATGGTTGGAGTGATTTGACTATGCAGGAAGGTGCTTTGTGCTAGGAACGCAGGCTGTAGGAGGTAGGAAGAAGGAAGAAAACTCTGTGAACTGGCTATGTTCAGCTCTCCTGAGGAAACTAGATTTACATGGGTTTAGGTTTTATGAGCAGATTTATGTACTCAGAAATATTCTCCCAGTCCCCTAAACAAACAAAATAACAGAAATAAGAGACCTAAAGTTATTACTCAGTATCTGAGACATAGGAGTATTCATGAGAACAGTAGAGAGTCTAGAGAGAACAAAGGAGAGGGGAAAAAGAATTAAAGGTTACTGGACTTCTAAGAAAAGGTTAAAAGCACTGGGATTATTTAACCTGCAAAAGTGAAAGAGGAGCAGGGTGATAAATAACTCTCTGTAGATGAATTGTGGTTGTTTTTACCAGTCAATACTTACTGAGTGACTTGTATCCTGAGCATTATACTAAGTATTTTAGGGGAATAATAAATAGCCCATAGTTTCAAGGATCTTCAAATTTAATAGCGTGGTTACAACATATATACATATACACACCTTAGAAATGTGTGTGTATTTTCCAAAATTTATAGAATGATTTGGAGAACTGTTATTTAAGACCAAAGGCAGTTAACTTAGAACTGATTAAAGAGGAAGGCATTATCTAGGGGAGTTGGGGATTGATAGAGGAGTTGGTGAAGATATTTAGGAATACAACACTGCCAAATTGTGTTTTACACAATTAAATATATATGTTAATATGTGTGTGTGCATGCTTAGTCATGTCTGACTCTGTGACCCCTTGGACTATAGCCTGCCAGGCTCCTCTGTCTATGGGATTCTTCAGGCAAGAATACTAGAATGGGTTGCCATTTCCTCCTCCAGGGGATCTTCCAGACCCAGGGATCAAACTCTCATCTCCTGTGGCTCCTGTTTTGGCAGGCAGATTCTTTGCCACTTGAGCTACCTTGGAAGCTCTATGTAAAAAAAATACATAATTATAAATAAATAATCAGTGTCTAAATTAATAACAGTGAAAAGATGACTATATGGTCAAAAGAGTTTGGGAAATTCTGAGTTAAACAAATGAAACCATTTTCTTTAGTGCAGATAATTTGGTGCCTTTAAAGTGCTTATGTGCATTGTCGGTCTCCCAAAGACAGCTTATTTGGGGACAGATCCAACTCTCACATATTGGAAGAGCTGGTGGAAAGGGAAACGAGTATTACTTTAGGATGTATTTTGGGAAATGCTGCAGTAATACTTGGTAATGTAGACTTTATACCCTGCAGACAAAGCATACATTTCATTGAGAGACTTTAAAAAGACTACTTAAGTAGATTTGAGGGGATCTCCCAAAGGGAAATTATTTCAAAATTGATTCCAACAAAAAGAATAAAGAGGAAGCAGGTGAAGAAATGGAGTGACCATGGACAGAGCAAACTGATAAGCAACAAAACAAAGGGAAGAGAGGTACTCAACAGCGGAAGACTACCCGGGACTAATAAGAATGTATATGAATAGTGTCAGGAACTGGCAAAAATTCTAAAAACATTAAAAATAGCTTTTAAAACTGGAAAAGAGTACAAAGAAAGTCTAACCTAGATCTTTGCTCAAAGGTAGCTAGCACCAGATTTTTTATTGCCAGAGAAGGGAGGGGATCTTTCAACTCATAGTTTAATTCCAATCTGTTTTTTCTTTTTCTCCTTTTTGTTAAGGAGAATGATTTTCATTGTGAGAAAAGCAAAATAAATATTGATAAGAGGAAATAGGCATTTAAATAGGAGACTGCTCTAAATGCGTTTTTATGCCAACTCAGAAATTTTATATACCTCAGGGTACTCAGAGAATTTGCAGATGGGGTTTATTTAACTACTGTCGAGGTTTAAAATATTATGGCAAATAGAAACAGAATCAGAAGACAGAAGGTGGGCAAATGTAGTACCACATTTCTTAAGTTGGCTGCTTGGGCCTTGAGTAACTAACGAAAGTGGAGAAATAAAGTTTATAACCTGTAAGCCAGTGGTCTTGGGATTGGTCTTGGGCTGTTTTGTAGGTTATGGCATTTAAGTTTGTTTTATCAGTCTTTAGCAAGAAGTAGTGATCTCTGGAAGGTAATACTTAATCACTTAGAAAAAAATCACTTCAGACATATCTTTTCAGGAAAAACACATGATTGTTAGATTGAGGAAATGTTATAGACATAATATATTTGGATTCCATAAAGCATTTTATGACGCCCCCTGTGATGTCTTTTAAAAATGGTGGATTTGTAACTAGTCAAATGATCATCTTTGGTGTACTCATGAGAAACTGGAGGAAGAGTGAATGCTTGGTGATAGATTGAAGCAATGGGTGAAATTGCAATTACATTAGGTATAATTTAATAGAGACAAATGGCAGACATTGTATTAGGTAGAAAAACAACGCCATCCATTCAGGACAGATTTGACAAGACTTAACAGTAGCATCGAAGAAGGCAATGGCACCCCACTCCAGTACTCTTGCCTGGAAAATCCCATGGATGGAGGAGCCTGGTAGGCTGCAGTCCCTGAGGTCGCTAAGAGTCAGACACGACTAAGCGACTTCACTTTCACTTTTCACTTTCATGCATTGGAGAAAGAAATGGCAACCCACTCCAATATTCTTGCCTGGAGAATCCCAGGGATGGGGGAGCCTGGTGGGCTGCCGTCTATGGGGTTGCACAGAGTCGGACATGACTGAAGTGACTTAGCAGCAGCAGCAGCAGCAACAGTAGCATATGCAAAAACGAAATATATTTTTGTTAACTGTAAATGCATAGCAGGTGACAGTGGATCATGGCTGCCCCCAAGTGCAATTACAATCTTAAGTTTCCTAAAGAAATCATATATCTAGACTAATGATGCTGATAGTTACTTCTTTCTAGGTACTTGCCCGATCTCTGTTGGAGTATTGTGTTGTGTTCTGACCATTTTATTACATGACAGGCTAGCTGTGGTTTGGGAGAAATTATCCAGTATGGTGAAGGGATTTAAAATCATGTGCTACGCGGGAGAGTAGTTCTCGATTAAAGAAAATTCTTAAGAAGGAAAGCTCTATTGGGTTGGTCAAAAAGCTTGTTTAGGTTTTGCCATAACATCTTAGGAAAAACCAGAATGAACTTTTTTGCAAACTCAATATTTGTTGTGCTGTGATACAGGAAAAAAATCTTTTGACTTAAAAAAAATTACTGTCAGAAAGTTTCACTAATTCCAAACAAATTGGTAGAATTGCAGTGTTCACAACAACAGGTAGTATCAGTTGAGGCTGGGATCACTGAAAACAAGAAAAGTAACTATTCAATAGACTAGCATGTTTTGTTTTTTCTCAAAGCTCTGTTATTTCCATCCAACTAGGGAGTTGGTGATGGACAGTGAGGCCTGGCATGCTGCAGTTCATGGGGTCGCAAAGAGTTGGACACGACTGAGTGACTGAACTGAACTGAAGCAGCATCCTAGTGACAAAATGTTAGAATTGGTTAACCCGTGATTTCTGTCTTGATACAGCATGCCGCATTACAATAGTTATTTACTTTTAATTGCTCTTTGGTCACCAAACCACAAAGATTTGGTCCTGTAGATTTTGCTAGTCAATACTATGGAGGAATATTCAGCAATAAAAACAAACAATATTAAAGCATGCAACAACATGAATGACTCTCAGAATTGTTATGCTATATGATAGTCAAAACACAGACGAGTACATACTATATGAACCCTTTAATATGAAATTCTAGAAAAGACAAAACTCTGGTGTCAAAATGAGATCAGTGGTTGCCTAGGGGTAGAGGTCAAGGGAAGGAATCAATTGGAATAGGAATGAGGAAGCTTTTGGGGGGATAGAAATGCTCTTTATCTTGTTCATGGAAGTGTACACATCAGACTGTGTACCTAAAGTTGGTGAATTTTATTGAATAAAGTTATACTTCAGTAAAACTAGAGGAAATAAAAAATTGTCCTGGCCAGAAAAATGAGGATGCACTTTCTCTTTAGAAAACCACGTGGAAAAAAAGGAGAAAAAAATCAATTCTTTCCATAAATCTTTAAACTTTGTGTGTGTCTGTGTTTTAGGAAGAACTTGAAACAGCCCGGAAGTTTCTGTATTATGAAATGGGCTATAAATCTCGATCAGAACAGTTAACAGATCGCTCTGAAATTAGCCTACTGCCTTCAGACATTGACAGGTACTTCTAATAAGTTTCTATCTTTCTCTCTCTTTTTGTCTTCACTTACCTAAGTATATTTTTCCATTATTTAACATTGTGTTCCAGGTACAAGAAGAGATTCCATAAATTCGATGCAGACCAGAAAGGCTTTATTACCATTGTTGATGTTCAACGTGTATTAGAGGTATTTTTTATGGTTCAGTATCTTTGATAGCAGAGGAATGTAAAGATTATCCTAGATCATTTTTTTCTCATCTAGTGCTATCTATAAGTAATATTTCTCTCTGAATTTTTGAAAGGCTAGTAATGTTAATAAAAAGATATACATAATTTTTAACAAAACTTCATTATTTTGTGCTTTCCTTTTATTTAGAGTATCAATGTCCAAATGGATGAAAATACGCTACATGAAATTCTGAATGAAGTAGATTTGAATAAAAATGGACAGGTTGAACTCAATGAATTTTTGCAGGTGAGTTGTGGTGAAAGAAAACAAGTGTATTTTCTTTTTATCTATTGGTCATCAATAGTATTCAGGAATGGATTTCAAAGTCGATACAGTTGTCACCTCATTCTGAAAAAGAAGAAAGCTTGAAGCCAGCAAAGGTTAATACCTCTTAAAGGATATGACTTTGCATGGTGTGTGTTCTTTAGCTTTTTATAAGATACATTATGTTGTATTGGGCAATTTAGATTAAATCTAGGTTAATTATGGCTTAAAGGGATAAATCAGAAATGTGCTTTATCAAGAAATATGCTGAGGGAGACCACTGCTGGACACTTCTTTACTTCTAAAGTACAAAGTTTATTTTTAATAGAGGACGTTTAAAGAAATAAAAGTTGTATTCATTCGAGAATCATATTCACTTGAGAACCCAAAATTCAATGGTTATATTCTTGCATTATTACAAACCTGAAAAGCAAGAGAAAGGAAAGCTACATTCTAGAGTCAAGACCATGTAATCCAAGCATCTTTATTTCTAATTTTCCCCTTATTCAAGGTTTAGTTGTTTAATAATAACTGAAAAGAAAGTAAATTTTACTTCAAAATGGGTGCTACACATGAATCCTTAAAAGTTCCTTAAAAGAAGGAAACTCAACAACCTCATACATTATTTGTAACAGTCCATAGAACTCTGCTCTTATGAAGAATGTATTGGTTTCCAGACAGGCCAGGTTTTTTCTGTAGTGCTTCTTGGGCAGGTATTTCAAATGAATACCAGGTCTTGCTTGCACCATGGCAATGATGAATGCTGAACATGAAATAAATTAATGCTGGGGATTTTGGTCAATGTCAGCCCTTTCTTCACTGTGTCAAGTTAAACAAACAAGATCAAGGCAAAGGAAATGGTAATTGTCTCTCTGGAGATGAGCAGCAGATAAGAGCATTGTTGAATCTAAATGCAGAAAATTTTCACGGGTTGTGTCCAGCATTACAAAAAAGAATGTTACTTCTTTAGCTTACTGTTTAACTAGGTGGACATTTGAAATTGAGTTTAAAATGTATGCTTGGAAATTAGAAACCATTTCATACATTTTTTGTTTAGTTTTCCTTGAGAAATTTTTTTGTCTCAGGATTTTAGAAAACTTTTCTTCAAATAAATAGTTAATGCTTCATTTCATATAGGTTGTAAATAAACAACAACATTTAGGGTTCAAAAACCTGAGGTCTTAGAAACAATAAGAGTCTAATGTTATGGATATGGATTTTGGGTGTTAAGTAATTTTCTTGAGTGCAGTAGAGCTAAACACATAGAAAATAATTTAAACCACCTGCAAGTTTTCTTGTAGTCTTTTTAATAATTATTTCTTGTCCAATTCTAAATGAAAGAGACTATTCATGCTTTACTAAGTGCATACATAGTATAATTTTCAACTTAAAAAATGCTGATTATATTTCTTATGAAATATATTCACACCCAAATATTAGTTTTTCTTGTAATATGGTTTTAAGATATATGTAATGTTTGAAGAAAACTTTGATATGTTAAAAGTTGATACATCACACAACCTTTATGGATAAAGGAAAAAAAAAAACTCTAGCTCTCTCAGTTCTTTTAGTGCTGATAAACTTTGAAGGTATTCATTGAATCAGACAAAACAGTAAACAAGACATCGCTGTCTTTAGATGTCAGCATTCTTTGTTATACCGTTCATAGGTGGAGAGTATTTTTTCAGGATTTTGTTTCATTTTTATTAAAATAGTTTCCTTTTCTGAAGATTAAGAGCCCATGTGTATCCCATTAGACAGTTTTGAATTTAGATATTTTTAAATAATCCTCATGGAAGATCTCTGTAGATTCTGCATCATTACATGACTTTATTTTTAGGTTTGGACTCTAATGACACTTCTGCATGTAGGAGTCCATCTCTAATAACAATAGCTTGCGAAACAGCTTTTAACAAGGTCATGAAATTCTGATCCAGCCCCTTGGCAGATGCCTCTGACCCTTATTCAGAGTCATTTTTAAGAAATGTGTCTCTTTAGGCTAGAAACTATAACCCTGCAAATATTTTGAGGATTTACATATCTATATATATATATATATACTCCTGATGAATGATTAAATCAGTTCTTTAAAAAATAGATAAAAAATATTGAAGAAGTGAGATCAAGAAAAGCAAATAGTTAAAACCACATCAACTTGAAAAGAAAAAAAAATCCCCATGCTCATAATTGCACAGTGCCTTCCAGATTAAAGGCCTTTGCCCGCTGACTGCATGTAATTTCAAGACTAATTCTGATTTTATCCACTGGATAAAAATGAATTAGCTAAAATCTGGGCTGTGGAGTGCTTTTACTTCTTAAGGTAGATCTCTGGGTCCATTTTCAAGGACTTAAATGTAAATGATTTTAAAAAGTCTCTAAGGAATTTGGATTTGGGGGACTTGAAGTTGTCAAGTACAATAACACTAAAAAAGAGTAGTTAAATATGTCATGGTTTGTCTTTGTTCAGTCCCTGAGATTCCTTTTTAAGATTTTAAAATGGAATTAAAGATTCAATATTTGAGTTGCTCAAAAAAATGTATATGCGCGGAGCTCATTGAGGGGCAAAATCCGATGTACTCAATCTGCATTTAAAGGCAGACTGATTTGCTAGATAGGTCTTAGTTTTTGCAGCCCTAGCAAAATACCTGCCCCTTTTCCCCTTTTTGAAATGTTTGAAAATTGTAGTTTCTTCTGTGAACTGTAGTACCTGCTACGGTTTTTGATGGGGGCATTTAATTATCCTCACCTGCTGCAAGGGTTACCATTAAAATGCTGTGAAGACAAGGAGTAAGCTGGTCGGCCTTTTGAATCTGTTACCTATTTTCTCTTTAAGCTGATGAGTGCTATTCAAAAAGGAAGGGTGTCTGGAAGCCGGCTTGCTATACTCATGAAAACTGCTGAAGAAAACCTCGATAGAAGAGTTCCCATCCCTGTGGACCGAAGTTGTGGAGGATTGTGAGTCTGAGCAGTGAATCCACAGCCGACAAACATCATCATGTAACAAACCAGAGGGGACTGACACCACTCCAAAACAGTAGACATGGATAGCTGCCTTGTTTTAACACTGGGAAACATTCCAAAGCTTTAGATGTCGATGTAGACCCTTTATTGGTATTTGCCATTCAGTTTAGCTTCTTAAAAGTGTATTTTATCACCTTTTCTCATTTTCAGTGCACATTGATTTAATGTTTTGCTCTCATTTTGTGATCTGTTAGACTGGACATACTCCCTTTTTGTTTATTCATTTATTCTAAGTCAATTTGAGAGGCAGAATATTTTGACAAAAATTGAAACCAGAAGCTGGAAGCATTTTGTGAGATGCACAAAGCTCTGGATATTAAGCTTGTTGATAATATTTGTTCTTAAATGGAGTGGGACCTATTAATAGCATTTCTGGAGACCTCTCAGCCCCCTTCTTCCTCTGCCTTCTTTATCCAGACTTTATATCTAGAGCATGACTGGTAAACTGGAGAGGGAAAAAAAGTTTAGACCTGGTTATAAGAGCAAGTCTCAAAGAGAAGCTCTGAAAGCTTCCAGAATCACAGGTATGAGATATAAGGATAGCATTGACATTTGCTGGGAGTTACAGTGATAGTTTCATCTCAGCAGTTCATTTTTCCCCCCCGTCACTGCTGGTTTTTCTTTGACTATTACAGTTGCCAGGAAGATCCCTGCTTTTCTTATTTTAAAACCAGCATTTAAGTGGCAAGTTGGATACAGTGGGATGGGATTAGATTTCTCAAATCTTTACAGTTGTAATAAATTTAAGGATTAAAAACCTATGTTCATATATCCACATATATAGCACAGTTTTCAATTCTCAAATCCTAGATGTTGGAGCATGTGATACCATTGAACATGGCCTGTTTTGCTCAGGTTATTGTATCAGTTGGAGGGAATATTTGTAAACAGATAGTAAAAGAGAATAGAAATAGCCTATTAGTTAACTTTAATTATAATTATTTGTAAAAAGGCACACAATTACAAAGTTCATGGTCATTTTAATTGCTTAAAGCCTTTCTCCTTCTGTACTAAATGGAAACGTTCTCAACCAAAAAGAAAAAAAGAAGACCATCCTTGACACTCACACATGTCCACCATCACACACATACACAGTCACAGAAAGACGAAACAAAAAGATCAGTCTGCCCAGAATTTAGCTAATACATAATATACTGGATTTAAAGCGCCAGTTTGGCATGCTTTTGTAATGCTCTGGTGGCATTTTAGCCAGTCATCTGAATATGTCTTCTTCGTGCTTCCTCTTGTGAAGTTAACTACCTGCTTCTTTTGATTTTTAAGATCACGTTGTGTATAAAATAGGAAATGTGACCCTTTTTTAATGTCAGGTTTTCATTGTGCAGACTTAATTTTTCAAACTGGTACATAAAACACTTTCATGCTGTTATTTCTATATATGTCAACATTGTAGAGTATCTTTATGTCTTATTCGAGTTGGGCATGAGCCTGTCTGTCATAATATACACACTGGAGGTTAACTCACCTAAGCCCCCACCCTCACCTCAGAAACAGATAAGGTAGCACGGTAACTCATTTTGCTTTTAAAATGAAGTTTAAACTTGCCACTTCCTTAAGGAAAACCTAAAACAGAGCAAGTGAGGCTCCCAAGTATCACTGTGAACTTTTTCTTTTAAGGTGTGATTTTTTTTTTTTTTTGCACTGGTTTCTTTTCCTTTTTCTTTTTTAAAATAATAGACACATGTGGTTTTGTAATTTTGTTTTTCTATCAAGACAGTAATCTCACTGTTTAGAGCCCAGCAACCCTTAATAGAAGAGCTGTCCTTTAAAACATCAGAGATGATGTACCACAGTATTATACATTTGTGCTCTCTCTCTTTCTCTCCATTTCTAGTTAAATCAAGATAACGATGGCTTGTATCCCCCCTGAATCCATTATAGTAGGGACTGGGCATATAACCTGAGTGGCCTGGGCAGGACTGTATTTGAAAAGAGGCCTTGTTTGTGCACGCTTTGCTTTGAGTGAAGTTCCTTTAAGGACAAAGAAAAGCACACTTTTCTTCCTTTGAGCATATCTGCCTTTGCTTAAAATCTGCTAATTCTAAAACATACGCTCCTTCACCAATCCCAGAGTCTCGTCTTGGAAATGAGCTGGTTCCAAGTCTTTACTGTGAATAAAGCACCCACACATTTTGTATAAAGTTCTTAATTAAACCTGTACAGCTTCTTTACCTGATTTCAGAAAAGGAGAGAAGAAATGGGGGGTGGGGTGTAAGTGTGATTCAAAATCTATTCCAAGCGCAAAAGAATTTTTTCAATTTTTTATATAAATATGGCATTAACTGATTTTGTTGGGCTGGGTGTGGGGTGTGTGGAAACTGTCTCTTGTCATCAAGTGATTTGTTTAAAGAGCCTTTAATGGGATTCAGGTGAAGGAACCCCCATCTGTGGTGGAGAGCTGAATGTTCCCTTCAGTAGCCCTTTGCACAGTCATAACAATAGGGATAATGCCAGATTATTTGTTAAGCCAAGGTTGTCTGCCTCATTGCCGTCATGCTGTTTGCAATATTCTTGCTTTCAATCAGTTTAACTTTAGGGTTTCCACTACTAAATGCATGCTCCCTATTCTGCTTTAGTTTCTAGCTTTGTATTGTCTTTTTCAAAGTATGTAGTTTGCTCTTTTGTACAACAAAATTTCATTCTTTTACTGAACATACTGTAAGAATGATCTTTGATCTTATTTCCCTTTTTTATGTATTTGTAAAGATTTTTGGCATATGAATGTAATAATATTGAAGTCAGTGACACTAATAACTTGCACTGTTTTGCATTATGTCAACCCTTTATAGGGAGTAAAAAAGCCCTACTGTGCTTTGAAAGAATATCAAGTATAAGCCCAGTTCTGGAGTCGATATACACACTGCATGTTTTCATATATGGCATTTTTATGTTTTGTGTTTGGTTATTGTTCTAGATTGGACTGTTAAATACTATGTTTGAGGCTGGGTTGTCATTTTTATAACTGTCTTGGTGTTTTATCGCCATTATTTATTACTTTTGATATACAGAATGAGCTGCATGCATTTATAGAGCAGTAAGAGGATGTATTTAATGTGCCTTGTTTTTAACTGAATAAGAACTGAAAGCATGAATCAATAAAGCTGATTAAAATGGTCCATTTACTGGCATGTTGATGTACCTTGCAGTCAGAGAAATAACTTTGATGACTTGTAGTTTAAAAAAAACTTTGGAAATATTTTCACAAACTGTATTTTTAATTGCATTCACACATTAATATTTTTTGCTTGCAATTTTGTAATTTTATCTCAAAAGTGAATCCCTGCATAGACTGATGTAATTTTATGAGACTGCCAGATTTATTTGTATTAATTTGTTGCTGGAGCCTTTAGGGCACGACTTCTGTATTTGTGCAATCCTATTCTAAAATTACATGCATCCTATTACAACTCTGTTGAATTCTTTTTTTCCTTTTTTTTTTTCCTTTTGTCAACCAGAGCCTTTTAGCCTGAGCATTCCCAGGCACACTGATGAATTTTATCATAACCAAAATCAATAGAAATGAATGGGAAAGATTACATAATCCATTTTGATCATCTTACATGTCAAGTTAGTGTAGGGTTGCCAAGTGTTGATAAATGCTCTGACAGAAAAAATGCTATATATTTTCATTGTCAGTAAATCAGTAAAGCTGTTATCAGTTTTAACACAAATTTTATAATGCCTATGTTATTTTATAGGTTTTAATTTACACATGTATATGGAGCATTGTCTCCATTTGTGGTTTAGAAGCACTGCCTCTTGGTTTTGCATGCTCAAAGGCCTGTGTGTGCTTCTGAGGTTCTTTGAAATCATATAGAATAACACAGAGCACTAGTCCCCAGACAGACTTGGAACAATGAACTGTTTGTTCAAGGCCTGGAAAAAATATCTAACAGCTCAAAACACTGTTTATTGATTTAGCTCATCACAGTTCATAGCAGTTTAAAATTTGTCAACATAAAATTTGTCAAAATACATTGCTCCTGGTTTTCAAAATGTGTAAAATTTTGGGTAATCCAAGGAAGAGAAATAGATACATCAATACTTTGCAATCTTGGTCAATACCACATTATCACTCATGGCAGACTTCACCTGACACTTGACTTAGGAAGGAAGCAGACAACAGAAATTTTCAATTGTTATGGCACCCTTACAACTAGAGAAGTTCTGTATCAAGGGTTGGAGTCAATGGGCCTTCTGTGCCTGTACCTTGTATTTTAGGCCTCTAATTAGCTACCCTGCGTGTGAAACACATGCACAGAAGAGATACGCCAGCCACAATAAAACCAAAGGTGGTTCTGCAGGTCCTGTGGACCCTTGGCAAAAATCAGTAAATACCTTTGCGTGTTGTTAGATACTTGATCCAGAACAGTAAGGTTTATTTGACCTAAACAGAATACCACTTTTGCAAAATGATTGAGGCTATCTTCATCCTCCGCCTGCGGCATCAAATTGCATTGCTTAACAAACCCTCCCACCTGTTCCCTGTCATTCCAGGTATTCACACGGGGGTTGCTTGAATCCATGTAGATTTAGGTGTGTATCCTGTAGTCACAGATAACAGTTCATGTTTCAGCGGAAGAGACGGGAGGATTGAGCCTCACTTGGATAGCGGAACGTGGCACGTGGTGCAGCCGGTCCCACCCACTCTGAGTCTGTCGAGCCCCCTGTGTTGGTTCCTCAGCAGGACTTCTCTCATCCTCAGGAGTTCCTGCAGAGCCAGGCTCCACTCCTTCAGTGGCTGCTTGCTGGAATTCCTACAGTGTGGCGTTTCAAGGGGTTGGGAGCTGTAGAGGTTGTTTTGTTTTGTTCTTTTGGCCCTGGTGCCTATTGAAAAAACAGGTAAAGGAGAATCTTGAATTGGAGGCTGCTTTTTCATGCTCATAGGATTTCTTTATCCAACCTCATACTATAAAACTG